GTAAGGCCCCATCTCTTAGTGGCACGCTCCAGTCTCAGCAGCAGCGTCTCCAACTTCTCCTCTGAATGAGCAGCTATTACCAAATCATCCGCATACATAACGTGGTTGAGCAATAGGGAGCCATCCCTTGACCGCACCCAGGCATCGATCAGCCTCCCATTATATCTGTACCAAATGGAGATTCCCCCGGTACAGCTATTGAAGGCTTCACGAACTACGTGGTCAAAATAGATGTTAAATAAGGTGGGAGCCAGAGGACATCCCTGTCACCCCCCAAGGTGTACAGGGAATGGCTCTGACTTCCAGCCATGTAGTTTTACCCGGGCCCGCTCACCATCATGAAGGTCCTTAATGATCGTGAGCAGGGGGTCAGGGACTCCAAAAGCATGAAGAACAACCCAGAGCCCAGGCCTACTGATGGTATCATAGGCCTTGACCAGGTCAATAAAGCAGAGATGTAGGTCTTGTTGGAATTCCCTACACCTCTGCTGTAGCAGACGGACAGAAAATATGGCATCCGTGCAGGACCGCCCTTTCCTGAAACCGCATTGGGGCTCCGCAAGCCTCTTCTCAGCGTGCCTGGCAAGGCGATGTTGAATAATCCTTGCCAGGACCTTTCCCGGCACAATGAGGAGTGAGATGCCCCTGTAGTTGTTACAGTCTGTGCGGACCCCCTTCTTAAAGAGGGGGACCACCAGGGCATCCTTCCAATCCTGCGGAACCCGTCCACTGGTCCAGACTGTTGTTATGATGTCATATAGGGCAGTCTGTGCACAAACGCCACCCTCCCTCAGCATTTCGCTGGGGAGATCGTCTCTGCCCGGTGCCTTTCCTGGTCTCAGACTCCGGATCGCCTTCAGTACTTCCTCAACAGATGGCACCTCAGCCAGCCATTCACAGGGGGTGACTTCTTCCAATATTTGAGGCACCGCAGCCTCAGCAGGGTCATCCCCACTTGGCACAAAGTGGCGGGGTTTACAAAAAAAAGATCCTCCATATAGCCTTAACAGACTGTAGGGGCAAGTGCTGTTAGCGAGCACCTATGAAGGCCGGAACGGTACACGAGGGGGTGGGTGGCCAGCACCACGCCCGACCGCCTTTGTCTCCCTAGTGGCGATGTTTACACACCGCACCAGGTACTCATTTGAGGCTGAGTCGACCTAGGGGAGGCCCAGGACCGGTTCAGATAATCGTCACTGGTGTTGGCCGTGAGCGGGAATCGAACACGTGTCGTCGGGTTCATAGCGCAGCGTAGTGCTAACTGCTACACTACCGCTCCCCACACACACACACAGACAGACACACACACACACACAGACACAGACACACACGCATCGCACCGCTCACAGTAGCGGCGTGCGGCGTTGCACCACTCACGGCGGTGTCCGTTCACCCCAAATCCGTTAGACCTCGCGTCGCGCATGCACGACTCACGCCACAGGAGTCGTGCAGGTTATCCCGACGCGTCACACGTGTCACACGCGTCGTCACACGTGTCACACGCGTCACACGCGTCGTCACACGCGTCACACGCGTCGTCACACGCGTCACACGCGTCACACGCGTCACACGCGTCACACGCGTCAGACGCGTCACACGCGTCGTCACGCGTGTCACACGCGTCGTCACACGTGTCACACGCGTCACACGCGTCACACGCGTCACACGCGTCGTCACACGCGTCGTCACACGCGTCGTCACACGCGTCGTCACACGCGTCACACGCATCGTCACACGCGTCACACGCGTCACACGCGTCGTCACACGTGTCACACGCGTCGTCACACGTGTCACACGTGTCACACGCGTCACACACGTCACACGTGTCATACGCGTCACACGCGTCGTCACACGTGTCACACGCATCGTCACACGTGTCACACGCGTCACACGCGTCACACGTGTCACACGCGTCACACGCGTCGTCACACGTGTCACACGCATCGTCACACGTGTCACACGTGTCACACGCGTCGTCACACGTGTCACACGCATCGTCACACGTGTCACACGTGTCACACGCGTCGTCACACGTGTCACACGCATCGTCACACGTGTCACACGTGTCACACGCGTCGTCACACGTGTCACACGCATCGTCACACGTGTCACACGTGTCACACGCGTCGTCACACGCGTCGTCACACGCGTCGTCACACGCGTCGTCACACGCGTCACACGTGTCACACGTCGTCACACGCGTCACATTGGGATAACGCAACAAAGGAGGCTGCGCAATCGCGACGGGGGAGACGTTACGACCCGAGACCACGAAGAATCCAATCTCGGACATGAATCTCAGAGTCACCTGCGGGGAGTGGAATTGTCACAGCTGCACAAACTACAGGTCTCAGCGCAAAGCTCACCTGTTCACACTCCAATCGTTTGCACGTTAAGTCAGAGTGCAGCCGGTCACGTTACCTGCGTACAATGATTGAACATGTTGCGCTCGTTTACCCACGACAGCCTCGCCGAGTCTCAATCCTGCTCCCAGGAGGGTCCTGCCAAGGTTTCGCAGTAGGCGACGAAGTTGCTGTTGCTGTGTAATCACAAATAAGTAATTTGCATGTAAAATTGGGTGCGACTGACCAATACCAGTTACATTGCGTGTGTGCGTTTAGCTACGGGAGGAAACCGGAGTACACGGAGGAAACCGATGTGGAACAGGAGACGAGAGCATGCAAACTCCGCGCAGAAAGGTGCCCGAGTCAGAAATCAAACCCAGACCCTACTTGCTAGTGAGGCTACAGCCTTGGCGCGAGCGTACAGCCGTTGAGAGACGCTGCTAACACCTTCACCCTGGCCCTATTCACAACAGACGAGGCCACCTCTTCCTCCTTCTCCTCCGATTCACAAAGGAGGCACGCGGCATAGCCGTGACCACACGTGGTGTTGGCCTATTTTTTTCTCACGCGCGCACGGCATGAGCACACGCGTTTAATTTAATTATTCCTGGGGATTTGATTTGCGTTCATTAAAGCCCTGAATGTCAACTCACGATTCCTAATGGCGCGGGTTCTCCCAGCCGAGCCGTGCGTTTGAGACATCGCCGCCAGTCTGCGTGTTTCGCAGCGTGGGGGGCTGGCGGGGGGGGGGGGAGGGCGGTGGACCGGCTCGCACGCTGGCCCTGCAGCCCCGAGGGGACAGGTTCAGCTCCTCCTCTGCTAGCCTTGCGCACGATGGCAGCAGCAACAACGTGTCCAGGAGGTCGATGCCAATGTCGAGGTCTGCTGCTGACCACGACGAGAGGGCTTCAAGAGAAAGAGAGAGTTCGTGTCGTTTTGCTGTTCCTGCTCCTCTGATGAAGGAGCGCAGACCAGTGGTTTATTACGCGTCCCATAGTTTGGGATGCATGGCCACAATCGCACTGCTGTGGCCTGTGTTTATTCTATATCTGTGAGTCTCAATCGATTTCTATGATTCTCTATATCTCTATTAGTCTCTACGTGTGTCTATGGGTTTACTATATGATCCACAACTTGGGTCGGATGGCCACAATCGCACGACCGCGGCCTGCGTCTTTAATTTCCCATTCATGACCGTGGCGATTTGGACCCCACTTCTCTCTCTGAGCCAGGACCTGGGCCATTCCCAGGGAATGTACACATCGGCCTGATGGTGACGATCCGATGCGCTTGATGGTTCAGCTCCTGGTCAATCCAGACGAAAAGCTGAACAACGTTTGCTTTTGACCGCTTGTTATATCCCAGCTGTGTGAGCGCTTGGTTCGAGTCACGAGCTCAGGAGCGACCTCCTGGGGGGGAGCCCCCAGTAAGCAGAGCCCCCCGCAAGACGACGCCGGAAAGAGGCTCCTCGAGGCTCTGCGATGGCCTCCCTCGCCCCCCATTAGGGGGCGCTCCATCCCGCTCAGTACAGGGCGGGTCGTCGCCACAGCGACCGCTCCTCCAACGCCTGCATCTCTGTTTAACGTCGAGGGCGGCGCGTGTCCGCACGCAACACGACGCTCGTTTCACGTGAAGGATTTTGTTATTGTTGCAATCATCATTAGCTGGACTGAGGCAATAGATCGCGACTGCATTTCAGAAACTACATCGACCTTAAATGTACTCCACTCAAATAGCGCAAGAGCTCAGAATAACCGAGACTGCGTCCTTCAACGCATTCAACATTTGGTAGCCGACCTTTGCGGCCACCCCGACCGAGCCTGCCAAAAACGCGATGAAATTTAAGGGGCGGCCTTGCTTTGAATTTAGCGACACAAAACACCGCCGACCGTGGGGAGATTAATGACTCTGGCGCATCGCCAACTTGCATTTATTGAACTCCCACCCCCCCCCCCCCCCCCCCCGACGCTTGCTTCGCCGCTCACAACGAGCCGGGGTCCTCGACCACACAAAGCCGGAGATTCCCACAGCCCCGAGTGGTCCCAGCGTCAGCGCCGGAGACCCGTCGTGAATATCGCCGCGTGCACATCCCAGTCCCAGACACAACAACAACAACAACGTAGCCGAGTCAAGCAGGCGCGGGGACAGCGCACATCTCTTTTGCAGGCCCTGAGCCAAGAGTGGAAGTTCCACATTCCCATGACCGGGGATGGTTTCATCCACAAAAAGCGAGCATTGTCAACGTACCGCAGAGGGGTGATTATTTTATCAACACCAGAAGGTTGATGGTCGGAGTCGATCTCCGTTCGGCATTTGAACTCGCAACCTCTACATCTCCAACCACTCGGCTGAGTGATGAGTTCTCGGTCTGGACTATGCTGAGACTCTGGGCGCGTGCTCAGTGGCATAAATCACCTCTCGTTTAACCTTCTCCGCAACTCGTGTTACTTTCAGCGGCGCAGGGTTTAGGTTCAGACAGAGGCGCAAACGAAAGCGCCGAGGCCTGGCTGGCCACAAACCGTCACGACCTCGCCAGGCAGAGCCGAGTTTCCCCGAGCGGGACTCCAACCCCCAAGCTTCCGCGTTGCGGGCTAGTGGACGCCGTGGCCACGGCGACGCGCGAGCGGATTTCGCGACGTGAGGCGTCTCGCTTACCCACGTATCCCGGCGTGCCGCACGCGGTGGACATGACGTCGCCGCCGATCTGGATCTTGGAGAGGCCGAAGTCGCTGATCATGATCTTGGAGTCGGGATCAGGGCTGTCGTACAGCAGGTTCTCCGGCTGCGGACGGCAAAAGGCGCGCGCGCATTGGGAGGCCCTCGCACCCGGCGACGGTCGCGACCGCGAGGACTCACAACTACCGCGAGCGCAGTTCACGTTACGCCGGGGCCGGCTCTCTCGGATCGGTGCGCCGGTAAAGCTGCTTGGGGGCCACCGCGACCGCGCTTCTCCACCAAGCGGAGCGTGGGTGGGAGGGGGGGGTCATAGGGAAGGTTTGGTGGTGCGGGGCCCAGCCCAGCGTCCCCGCTAGCGCCGACCCGGACAAATTTGAGAAGCGGTGACGCGTTCGAGCCGGGTGCCGCCCGTTAGCGGAACGACGCACCGCGCCCGTCCGGGACAAAGATTGCCTTCACGATTCGACAAATTATTTCACGGCTGAGAAGCCACGTGTCCGCGTGTTTTTTTTCGAAAATATATTCGGCCGTGCTCATCTCCCCGTGTACAACCCTGCAGAGAGACAGTGGCGGATATTCCACATTCCTATGGTGGGGCTGAGTCTATACGTAGTAACGCAACCACCGTTGACTCCCCCGTGAAGTGGTTCAAATCCCCAACCGGGACACGAACCTTGGGATTGCGAGGCACTCACGGCGTGTAAACAGACTACAGTTACTTTGATTACTTTATACAGCAACTTAAGTATGTCGTGTTCAAGTATATATTTATGTATATATTAAAATGTACATGTTGATGTCGTCCCAAAATTATGATTCTCCGGTTGTGCTACGGGCGCCATCGGTCGGGGAACGAAGAACCTTCCGCGGGGAAACTCCGCAGCGAGCAGCGCCCGTGACCCCGCGCCGGAGAAGGGCCGATGCAGGTGATGCCACGGAACTATTTCTGAGGGCATTTCACAATGGACCCGTGAGAGCCCACGGTCGGGGCCCTGCAAGTTGCCGCTCCGTTGTGTCGCCGGCCCTGGCGCTCCTCTCCGCTGGTCCCTGGTGGAGGTGCCAGGTCGTCGCTTCCCCTTGCGTCTCTGATGTCCCTCACCCCTACCCTCTGATGCCTTTCAAGTCCGTTTCCCCCTCCCTCTCGTCCCGCCTTCTTGATGTTTTGTGTTTTCTCCCGCTTTTGTGCTTTTTTTTTTGCACGGCACTTTGTGGTTATGCCACGGCGTTTAAGCTTCCGATGAATGCAAATGAGGCCTTGATGGTGCCATGCCAAGATTGTGCGCGTGCAGCGACCAATCCAAAGTTTTGGGACTCAGAGCCGTGAGCAAGTGGCAAGGACAAATTCTGACAAGATGCAGTCACTCGTGACGGGGCCTGGGAGCATCAACTGAGCTTTGTCAACGTGTGTGAATGTTTTGACTTAAAACTTTCGTGACTGCAGGAATTCATATTCTTGGTTCTGTCGGTAAAGTCACGTAGATAGAAAGTAAAATAAAAATAACAGATAATAAAAAAAAAAATAACGAAGCAAAAAAGCCGCAACGTTTCGATCGCAACATTAATTTTGAAGATACGAGGGCTTCCAGGCATATTTATGACATTTGCCCTCTCATTGTGTGCCATAACAGTTCTGTTTGGACAGTCACGTAGTCACTTTAAGATGTTTTTCTTGTTCGTGTTTTTGTGTTTTTGTTTGTTGTGGTTGCACCCGATTCAAGAGCCGAATGGCTCACAGGGCTATACCAAAATAAATCAAACTGAAAATCAAAAAACTGAAACTAAGTGATGAATTTGGGAAAGTTTTTTTTTACTGCATCTCCAACTCACTGCACTTGAGCGGCCGGTTTAATCACGGGCGACTGAGCCCAGGCTCAAACCCGGGCGCTCGGCGGAGCCGTGCTCCGATACAGGGGCTACTGGGCCATCTCCGGCTGGGTCACGTGTTTGCCTCTCCAATGCCTCGAGCACTACGCCGGCCTTGATAGGTGCTCCTCGCTAGCAGCACTTGCCTCCAGCCATTGACGCTATGCGAGGGGATCTCTGTCTCAGGATTGTGGACGAGTTGCCTCTGCGGTTGCAACAGTATATGTGTGTGTGGGGAGCGGTAGTGTGGCAGTTAGCGCGCTTGCGCTTACAGCCCCGGCGACACAAGTTCGATTCCCGCTCATGGACAAATTTCTGAATCGGTCCTGGGCCTCCCCTAGGTCGACTCAACCTCAAATGAGTACCCAGTGCGGTGTATAAACATCGCCACTAGGGAGACAAAGGCGGCCAGGGTGTGGTGCTGGCCACCCACCGCCTCGTGCACCGTGCTGGCCTCCATAGGTGCTGCTACGCGCTAGCAGCACCTTGCCCCGGCAGTCTGCTGAGGGCTACACGGGGGATCTTTGTCTTTGTGTGCGTGTGTATGCCTCTGCACGTTCGTGGGGATGCATGTAACATTTAAATTACAGCGCTGGAGCGGTGCGCACGCTAAGCGAGCTCATTAGAGGAACACAATGTACCGTGGGCAATACCATATACGGTGTTTTTTTTGTCATGTTTCACCACAGCTTAATAGCACTGATCAGCACTTGGTTATACAAGCCATATGTGCACACGCGTGCACACGCACGGTAATGACCTCATTTGTTTTGGTAGCAGGCCACATAATTCCAGCTCACAATTATGAGGGCTGACGGAAAGAGTCCGTGTCCTGATATAGAAGAGTCAGAGTGAGAGGCCTTGATGAAGCTGGGTTGTGACTCTACATGGTCCCCTCAAAGTTCACTGCACTCAGTCCATCATCGTCATCATCGTTACTATCGTCATCCTCACAATCATGATCGTCGCCATCATCGTCACCATCATCATCATCATGATCGTCATCACTGTCACCATCGTGGTCACCATCAACGTCACCATCCCAAGGATGTAATCTCCACCCAAGAACTCCCTTTTGTCTCGCTCCTCACCCCACACAGGGCTCACAGCTCCGTTGCTTCATCGCCACGAGACAAATCGCTCGACCCTCTCGCTCTGGAGGTGCGTGAAAGCGACCGGGAGCTGCGTCCGATGAGCGTGGAATATCTCAAGATTTCCCTGCATTCCTCAGGTTTCTTTCTCCCAACATTCAAGTTAAAGCACAACAGGGATAATTTAAAACACCTGGCAAGACCACATCAATCTACCGCTACGAAACGTTGCAAACATTTAAATGCTTCGGTCGCTTCACGTCCATCAAGCCTACGTAGCCGGACCAGGGGTGGGCGCGAGCAGGCCCCAGCCCCGGTGACACTTACCGGTGTACGCCTCGTGGCACGGTGCAGCGCTGGCACGTCAAAACTCCACGCGAAACGTCGACGTAACGAAATGCAGGAAGCGGCAGGGCTCCCGAAACAGCGTCGCGTTCAACTCCGCGTGCGTCGCGACGCAGAAGCTCTCTCCCCCTTCGTCATCAATATTCACGAGCGGGATGACGTACGTCACGTTGCCAAACGCGTGACTGCAGCTCGGTGGAAAGACTTCGGCGGGCACCTGTAGCTTTTAAAGGTGGCTTTTGTTTCCCTGGATGAAAAGTCAACGATTGCCCCAATCCGGGAGAGGACTCCAGCTAGGGTCGCGTCAGGCGCCGCGGCGCAGCGCCCGCATCTCCGTCGTCGGAAGCTTGCGGGCGTGAACCCTGGCCGGTGGTCGACTTAGCCCATCATCCCTTCGGGGGCCGGTTAAATCGGTACCGCTTTGCGGGAGGTCAACAGCGGTCGTCTTACGCGGGAATGGCTTTCAGCCACGGGAACGTGGAAACAGCACCAACGGCTCAGGGTTGGGCTGGGGGCAGGGGGAGGGGAGCGGGGCTGGGTGGGGGGGGGTACCTTGAGGTCACGGTGGACAACGTCCATCTGGTGCAGGTAGCGCACGGCGTCCAGGACTTGCCGGATCAAGGCGCTGGCGTCCTTCTCCGTGTAGAAGCCCTTCTCCACGATGCGGTCAAACAGCTCCCCTCCGGAGACCCTGATCCCCACGCACAAAGACCCCCCCCCCGTTTAGTAGCCTTAGCAGACTGTTGGGGCAAGTGCTCTTAGCGAGCAGCAGCACCTACGAAGGCCGGCACGGCACACGAGGGGGTGGGTGGCCAGCACCACGCCCGGCCGCTATCGTCTCCCCAGTGGCGATGCTCACACATTGAGGTCTAGTCGACTTAGGGGAGGCCCAGGATTTGCTCAAATAATCGTCACTCGTGTTTGCCGTGAACGGGGAGCGAACTGGGGTCGCCGAGTTTGCAGCGCTCCCCACACACACACACACACGTACTCACACATACACACACACACACGTACTCACACATACAGACACACACACGTACTCACACATACAGACACACACACGTACTCACACATACAGACACACACACGTACTCACACATACAGACACACACACGTACTCACACATACAGACACACACACGTACTCACACATACAGACACACACACGTACTCACACATACAGACACACACACGTACTCACACGTACAGACACACACACGTACTCACACATACATACAGACACACACGTGTTTTTGTTTTGCTTGTTGTTTTGACCCGTGCCCCTGACTGGATATCTGTGTAAAGAGCTTTATAGCTCATCCGATTCCTCCTGCAGTATAAAAGAATATTCTGATTCTGGTTAATTAACACATCACCGCATGTATATACATATATGCTGACGCAAATACACACAAGTCTTGTGTTCAAACTAAATAACTCCATACATAAAGGAAAAGATCAGGTGATAAAAATAGCACGTTTCCCTGCTGCATTTACCCCGGACGCCCTCGCAGGAGGCTTGGACGATTCATTATTGAGTGCGCGACGTTTTACAGAATCAGAATCAATATTCATCGTGGGTAAATCCGACGAGCTATAAAGCTCTTTCCCACAGATGTCCAGTACGGGGCAGGTCAAAAAAGTGACAAACAACAAACAATACAAAAACACGACGGAGACAAACGGGGGGGGGGGGGGGTGGGGGGGGTGGTGGGGGGAATTCGAAATATCGCTCAGGACAATCGCGGCCACAGCCGAGGAGGCACCGCCAAATCAGTCTCAGGAGGTCTGGCATCGTGGGCGGTATGGCCAACCGTGCCCGGGGCCGGTAATGCAGCAGGAGGCCAAGAGGGCTCCTCGTGCTCGCAGCAGGACAAGAGGGCTCCTCGTGCTCGCAGTAGGATGCAAGAGCGCCCGGGGCCAAGCGATGGCCATGTCACTGCTGCTCAGATCTCTGAGATTAAGGCCACAGCATCTGCAGTGCGAAGCGATCCCAAGCCCCATCGCGGTTTCTCCCGGCCACAGAGTGACAAAAGGCTTCCCCCGGTCGGTCGCGCCGCTCACGGCGCGGCGCTTGACCGGCCGCGCGGGTCCCGGCCTTTTGCCGCGTCCCGCGCTCCGCGCCGTTTGAAGACGCGCCGCCGTTTGATGGAGGTGGCGTTTGATGGAGAGGGCTGACGCAGCCATGAACAGCGGAGCCCCAGGGCCCCGCGCCTCCCGTGAAATTAGAACGCCGGCTTGCCCCTTATTAAAAACAAATATTATTGCGAGTAACAAATTACCGACTCAAATAACCTAAACCTTGAGTTTACAAAAGTCGAGAGTCATGGTGCCTCCCTGCTCCAGCGAGCACTGGGCCATGCTCATCATCAATTAATTACCTAGTGCGATGTTTCAACATCGCTACCAGGGAGACCAAGGCGGCCGGGCGTGGTATTCACCACCCACCTTCTCGTGTGCCACTCTGGCCTTAATAGGTGCTACTGGCTAACAACACTTGCCCCAACAGGCTGCGTGTGCGTGTGCGCGTGCTGTTGCTTCTCCCTGCGCCAAAACCGAACTCATAGCAGGAGCCGTGGGCTGCCAGCTGCGCCGAGTGACGTTCACCTTTAACCTCTGCATTGTATTGAACCGGACAGGCGAACGCTCGCACACAGACCCACACACACACACAAGGGTCTCTCCAATCCAGCATCGCGGAGGCTGCAGGAACAAGTGCCACTCTTGAGGCCCGGCACAGAGCGCAAGGGAGGGGTGGCTCAAGAGCAATCGGGAACAATGTAGCACAGCTGCTGTGCGCGCGTCGTTCTCATGGCGCAAGGTTATCGCGAAGCGAGCCGCTGTTTTTCCGCCGATGCAGCCTGCAGTCGTTTCACAGCAGCGGGCGATGTTGCTGCTGCTGCGTGTGATTTCAAGTAAAGTAAACTGCGGGGTTATTTGTTTGCTGCTCTTACAAATTAGGCGAATTGCACCGCGTGGCTTCGGCACCCAGTGGCCTAAGCAGTGCCGGATTAAGCTAGTGGGCGCCTGTAGCATATGTTATTTAAAAAAAGAAGCACGTACATTTTTAAACACACATTTTTAACTTGCACAGTAAAGTAATTGTATTTATTCATTTGCTATGCGGCCAGGTAATACGGCAAACCGCTAGCCTTAAACACCCTAGTCGTTCATAAAAGTTGAAGGCGGTATGGTACTATAGTAATAGAGCAAGTGCAGAATCGCTGAACCGGAATTGATAGCTTGAAAGCATTTAGCGTGGGGCCCTTGAAAGTGCGGGGCCCGTAGCTACTACACATGTAGCTACTACATGTGCAATAGCTACTGCACATGTAGCCACTGCACGTGTAGCCACTGCACATGTAGCCACTGCACGTGTAGCCACTGCTTGTGTAGCTACTGCTTGTGCAGCCACCGCACGTGTAGCCACTGCACGTGTAGCCACTGCACGTGTAGCCACTGCACACATGTAGTGACTACACTGCACGTGTAGTCACTACATGTGTAGCTACTACATGTTGTAGCTACTACATGTGTAGCTACTACATGTTGTAGCTACTACATGTGTAGCTACTACATGTGTAGCTACTACATGTGTGGCTACTACATGTGTAGCTACTACATGTGTAGCTACTACATGTGTGGCTACTACATGTGTGGCTACTACATGTGTAGCTACTACATGTGTAGCTACTACATGTGTGGCTACTACATGTGTGGCTACTACATGTGTAGCTACTACATGTGTGGCTACTCCATGTGTAGCTACTGCATGTGCAGCCACTTTTGCTACTACGATAATCCGGCACTGGGCCGACGCCTTTCCCAATAGACAGCAGGGATTCGGCAATATCCAGGGCGGCCTGCCGGAGCGGAACCGCTAAGCCCCACGCCCATGGCATCGGTTTGAAAGACGATCCCGGGGATGAGCTTCCGCCTGGTCGCGTGCGGAGTCCCGTCTCGCCGCTGATGAACGACGAATGAATAATCTGCAGCAGCTTGTCTTGCGAGTGTCCTTCCAGATTCAAGGCCTAGCGTCAAGTCTCGACTGAGCGAGCGGCCTCGTAATACTGAATCACCCGTCGAGGTAACCCCTCGCCAGTCAACTCATCCAATGCATTTTTCACTCCCAGCATCCATTCAGTGCCGGATTTTCCGAGTAGTGAAAGTAGCAAACGCTACGGGCCCCGCACTTTCAAGGGCCTCGCGCTAAATGCTTTCAAGCTATCAATTGCATTTCGATTTAAAGCTTTCGTGACTGCAGGGATTCATCTTCTGGGTTCTTTCGGTAAAGTCACGTAGAATGGATGGACTCGTCCGTCTGAACACAAGCTCGTCCCTCATACTAACATCATGCTAATGCCCCAGTTACATGCTAATTTACTGTTGATATGTAAACTGCTGCTAATCCCTCACACCAACATCATGCTAATCCCCCAGTTACACGCTAATTTATATGTAAACTCCTTTGTCAAGGCGCTCTGTTCCTCCCACAGAGCTTAAAAGACGCTGTCCATGCTTGGCAGTGTTCACTCAAGCGCTGTCTTCCGGACAGTCCTGTTTCTTCACCTGAGGAAGGCTACTTGTGTTGTGGCCGAAACGTCGTGAGAATTTTATTGTTATTATTATTTTTATTATTTTATTCCCATTCTACGTGACTTTACCGAAAGAACCCAGAAAGACTATCAATTGCAGTTCAGTGATTCTGCACTTACTCTATTACTATAGTACTATACCGCCTTCAACTTTTATGAACGACTGAGTGTTTAAGGTTATCGATTTGTCGTATTGTCCGGCTGTATAGAAAATGTACAAATGCGGTTACTTTACCATGCAAGTATTTTTTTTTACGTTTTTAACATTTTCGGGTTTATTTTAGGGGCCCCTTTGTGACAACATAACGCTACAGGCCCCGCACTAGCTTAATCCGGCACTGCATCCAACCATCACCCACTGCTTGTTTATTTCTCTCCCGAAACAACCCCCATCACATTTCCCTCTGAAGCCGGGGGCAGGAAACCTTGCAGAGGCCACGCAGTGCTGCTGGGGTCCCAAGCATAGCGCTCGGAGGCAACGCCTGCCGTCTCTCCGGGCATCGCTCGCCGCATCTGACTCCCAATAACAGAGACTCGTCCCACTGCGACTAGTTCGTTATTTGACAGCGAATACTCTTTTCGATTTAAAGCTTTTCGTGACTGCAGGGATTCATATTCTTGGTTCTTTCGGTAAAGTCACGTTAGAAGGGAAACAATAAAATAATACAAATCAAACAATAAAATTCTCACGACGTTTCGACGGCAACACAAGCAAACATCATCAGGTGTGGAAACCACAGCAAGAAAAGTTAGGGGGGGAAAAACCCGCCAATTTTTTTCAAATTTTCTTGCCGTGGTTTTCACAGCTGATGATGATTGCTTGTGTTGCAGTCGAAACGTCGTGAGAATTTAATTGTTTTATACCGTTTATTTTATTATTCCCCTTCTACGTGACTTTACGGAAAGAACCAGGAATACAGCGAACGCTCTGGTGCGCGTCTCTGTGTCTTTGTCGCCACCGTGGCATGTCTGGGACGCCGCCGCGTGACGCGGGAAGGGAGAGGTCATCCGCTCGGAGGCTCCCGCTGGGCAGGTTCACAGAGCGGGTCCCGCTCATGACTTCACAACAACAACAGCAGCAACTCCGCGCTGCT